CCCGATATCCGTGGGTCTTGGGTGTTGGGTCTTTTGTTCCATTTTGAAGCTTCACTGGGCCCGGTTTTTTGTGGGTCTTGGGTGTCTTGGGTCTTCGGGTCTTGAACGCCTTGGGTGGCGATCCTCGCCCCTTCCTTCTCCATTCGCACCTCGGCCCGGACCATGGCAAAGGCATGGCCGCTGGGCTGGACCTTGGCGTCGAGGGGCGTCGACACCGGGGAGTCGAAACCGGGGCCATACGAATGTTCCTACCCAGAGGCTCCGGATTGATTTAGTCTCTCTGGTACTTCTCACATGCTGAGCTTTTGCCCAAATGAGCTCACCAAATCAAAGTCGCGAGGCAACATGTGTTGCCTTTTACTTCTGCTTGCCCTGGGTCAAGCAGTGCAACCTCAAGACAGGGCACACTCCGACAAGGCCCGGACGTAATCCACGTGCCGCAGCACACGCCAAATTCCAGCCAGCCTCACATCGTAGGACCACGCAAAAATCCTATGGGGATGCCGGCTGAAGCAAGAAATCCTTTGATTGACGACACACTGAAGCGAAGCGTGAACTAACAAAGAGAAGGAGAGGAACAAAAAAGAAGAGAAACAGGCAAACAAACAAAACCAAACAAAAACAAACAGAACAGACAGAACGGAAACAGCCCAGCAAGCAGCAAGGAAGCAAATCACAAACACTACATATACCGAACATAGACATATATATATATATATATATGCAAGATATGCATATGTGTACATACCAGTACACACGCACACACACCGGCGCGTGGAGACCGAATCCGAGGCCCAGACAGGTGTTCCTCTCGCTCGGAGTCCGAGCCTCGAGGCGATCCAAGTTGCAATCTGTGACCTGATGGACTCAGACAAGACGTCCTGGACATATATTATTTTGCAACTGGGAGTGTGGATATTCAAAAAAACAACAAGCAAAAGTCGGGGACCTCCCCCAAAATGTCGATATTGATATTAAAAGAATAAAAAAATCCCCGGGACGACCCCCAAAAAAAGAAAAAAACGGTGCTGCTCCGAGCTGGCGCTCCTTAAAATCCAGCCCACGAGGTGGTCCCTTACGATAAGCGTCACTTGCCGATTCCTTTGCTTGGGGACTTTTTGAGTTCCTGGAAGTGCTGGATGCACCCAAATATGAAGGCGTGCCGTCTTCAATGTGTGGACCTTGCCTTGTTCACTGAGAGCCCCAACCCAAGCCACACCCTTGGATTCAGCGCCCTATCATCCAACGGGGGCAAGAGCTGCCTTTCCCAGGCTGCCCAGTGGAGATCGAGGGCAGTGCGGAAATAACGTCCCAGGTTTTTGTATGACGTTGTTCGGGAAAGGAGAAACCAAGAATCAAGGCCTCGATGTTTTTCACATCGCAAACCTCCCGGTTGGTCGGATACCTACTTCACCCTGCAAAAGGAAAACCAAAATTTGGAGGGTCCCCCAAGACACACCCATATGGACCCCTAAAATGAATTTTCTTGTCCTGTTGGTTCCCTTCAAACCAACCTAAGGGCATCCTCAAAGAAGCACAAACCCAAATGGCAGCATGTCGAGTTGAACTTCTCCAAATGCTTGACTTCCTTTGAACAACCCTGCAAAGCAGCAACGGTGACACAGCTCGCGTCTCCCCAACCAGAAAAGTCATCCCTTGGTCCCTCGGCTTGAAAACGAAATACCATCATTCACTCAAATGGCTGTGTCTCAAGTAAATGTCACCCAAAATACGGCACCTTGGTAAATGGAACCAAAGACTACAACCTGCGATTTGCCCTAGCTCTGTCATTTTGAGCCACAGCCAAATAACCCTTAGCTGGTGGTTTGGATTGGTGGTTTGAACCCTCGGCTTTTGCAGAGGGTAGATGGGAAAGCCCTCCATCTCACCAAGCCACCGGGATCCAAACCACCAATTCGAGGGAAGCTGATTCACGGTGGGCGCCGGGACCCACCCCTCGCACCCCCGACCTCTCTGCTCAAGTGGCCCCAACTTTAGGGTGTGGCAACCTTGCAAAACGCATGGCAGACCTTCCTCTCTCAATCCTTGCCCCACTTTTCCGTGGAAAACGCCAAGCAGGACCCTCTGGCCCGCTGGTGTTTTCTGCCCCCGGGCCCCCGGCCTCCGCTCTGCAGCACCAAAGCCGCAGAGTGGGTCAGCTCGGACACCACCTTGGATCTGTTACCATCCAACGCCTGAGTTCTTGCCAACTTCAGATGAACCCCGCCCGAAAAAGATATAATTTGTTGGCAAAAAGTTAAAGTCCGAACATCCTTCACTCGTTCCTCTGTTCTCTCGTTCATCATCCTGGATTTTACAGATTACTTTTCACTCACCGCCGTCGACACGGCTTAACAAAGGATGATGAGTCGCCCGCAACCAATCCAAATTAATTTGTTATTGTAATCTTCATATTGTCTTTCTGTCGTAATAACTTGTGTTTGGATTTCTGGTATCTTCATCCTATTAATAATATCTTTCTTATCAGTCAACATGGTATTCCTAAATCCAAGCAAAATGCACCAAAGAAAACCTGGCATTGAAATGGTCGACCCAGGGCCATGCTTCAAGAATTAAGAAGGCATTTATGGCAAGGGGATTGTCCCTTACTAACCTTCATCGTCTTGGGTTTTGACTGTGGCTCAGATGAACCCCGCCAAAAAAGGTGATTGCCTTGGACACCAGCCCTGATTAGTACGGTCCTCTGGATCGGGTTGAGCCAGCCTCGTTCCCAACCTAGCAAAGACAAAAACATGTTCTCTCACTGAAAGTGCCCTGGACAAGTCATCAACACAATAGCAGAGCTTGCCATTTGTCCCGCACTGGTTCCTCATCCGCCCAACTTCGAACGTTGCAAACCGTTAACCGACGCGTGAAAAAAGATGCCCCTAAAAACCCGCAGAAAAAGGCAACACGCGGATGTTTCAGGGGGAGCCTGCCGGAAACCTGCAACTCGATCATCTGCAGGGCAGCTTCAATGCAATCGAACCCTCAGGGTCCAAGCTTCCGAAGACGTTTAGAGCTGCCTCTGGAGGAAACCAGGAGCACGAAAACCCATGAAGCGGCATCTAGCCGAGGTCTCCTCCACCCCGAAGCCGACCGAACCCGCCTTCCCGCGGGAAGGAAGCCGGAAGCCCCGACCGCCGAGCGACCGATTCTCTGGGCCCCGCGGCCCACAGCACCAGCGGCGCCTCGAAGAAGTCCGCCAGCAGATGGGCCGTGGCCTCGCGCGAAGCGAGGTGCGCGCAGCGAGGTGCGCACAGGAAGGCGCCGGGTTTCTCCAAAGTGGGAAAGGGGAGCCGTCCCAGTGGCCTTTATATGTATATAAGCCCCCTAAGGAAAACATAGACGAGCAAAGAGGTCCGGTGTGGTAGATTCCCGCTTGAGAGCGGAGGAAAAGAACAAACAAGATGTCCTTGAGCAAATGGAAGGAACCGCCTGTCGAAAGGGAACCCACTTTAAAAAGTGAGAAGCGGAAAACCAAGAAAAACCTGAGAGAACAAAAACCGGCTAGGGAACCCACTGGGAGAAAAAATGAAGAAAAAACAAGCGCCATCAGCAAAACAGAGAGGCAAAACCCAGGGCCCCAAGCTCCCTGGGTGCAGTTGGTGAGTGCACCCGACTCCATTTATTGCAATACTTGTCTGTTTTTTGGGGCCTCCATTTATTGCGCTACTCCTTCTCCTTCTCCTTCTTGGGGCCTTCTCCTTCTTTCCCTCCTCCCAATTTTTAAATCGCTGCGTCGAACAGACACTGTGCGCTATCGCACAGGCAAAGGCAAAGGCACAAATGACGGTTGATTTATTCACCGCTTAGGTGCCCCCAAATTCTTCGCCAGCTTTCTGCCGGTGCCTCCGAAAAGGTACCCGCAGCCCAAACAGAGCAAGTCGCAATCAAAATAAAACAAAACACAAGGCCGTCTAGTTCTCCAGCAAGCCCCGTACATCCCATTTAGTTGCAACGGGGCTCAAATCCCCAAACCGATGCACCAAAGGCTATGGGAACATCCCCAGCGGAAACCAACCTTGGCCGACATCTTGCACGCAAAAACCGGCTTAGCCTATGTGTTTGTTTCAAAAAAAATGGAGGAGACCAAGTCGCAAGGAGCTGCAAAGAAAAAGGAGACGCACTCTCCCGGCCCCTCTGGGCCCAGAGCCATCCGCAAGGAGTCCTTCATGAAGGGCGCAAAGGCGCCCCCCGCCGCCTACGGAAAGCTGTGGTTCTGTGGGTCGTTTCAAGCGAGCGGAACCCCCTTTTTGGTGGATCTGAAAATTGAAACCAAAAGGAGACCAACCACTTCGAGCTCCCCTCATTTTGAGGCAAAAAAAACGCGGAATCCTGAAAAGGGGGCCCGCACAAGGAGGTTCCTCTGCAATGGTGCGATGAATACAGTGTTTTTGATCACGAAGGTACATGCCGACGCACACGGAAAACATGCAGTTGTTCCGATGAGCCGGCAGGTCATGCTTTACTCAGACTAAGGACCAGGGTTTGCAAGCTGCTGACTTATCAACGTCGGAAACTTAAAAAAGCCCTGAATCAAAACCAGTTGGGAGTGGTTCCTTTCTGTTGTCGTTGGGGGTCAGTTCAAAGCAAAACCCAGAAGAAAGCACATGGAGACAAAGCCCAGGTTAAAGACATCTTGGCTTCCCTTTTCATCGATCTGCGCAAACGCCTCGAGTACCCTTGCCGGAAGTCGAAGGGTGCCATGCCATGCAATCCCTGCGCCTGCATGCTGATGTGCAAGGCGTAAAGCATCCAAAGGCCTCAGCGCAGGTCCACGACCAACAGTGTCGACATGGAAAAAAGCTGCTGGCATATGGGTGCGTATTTGTGTTGAGGATACGCTTCTTTGGGTGGTTTAAACTGGTCCAACCTCAAAAAGACACCACTATAAAATATGTGTTCATTGAAACCACCCATCATATCCATCATGGGGAGGGGTCTTTGGGGGGAGGGGTCTGTGATTGCGAAAATGAAGCGCCGTACCCCAAATGGGTGTGTCCCGGTTCTTTTGTTTCTTTTTTTTTTTTCGGGGACCCTCCCAAAACTGTGTGGTTGTCCTTTGCCACAAAAAGGGAGGGTACCCACTCTAAAGCTCGCTGGTTCTCAGCAGGGAACGAGGGTGTTTGTCTTTTGCTTTTTCGGAACTCGTTTTACAACACAAATGGACTTGGAAAGCGGAAGAACAAGCTTTGACATGACCTGTTACCCAGGAAAAGGACTAAGAATTTTGAGTTTGGATTGGCCGAGCGTTTTCTTGGCCACTTTGCAAGAATGGACCGAGAAATGGTCAAACGGTTCCATGGCAACGAGGTGGCAATTTAGAAAGCATGAAACGTGACACTTGAGCCATCGAAACCCGGAAATTGATGATCCGGTTAGTAAGGGGCAGCCCCAGCCAGAAATAGTTGCGGATATCCGCCTTCTTAATTCTTGAAGCATGGTTCTGGGTAGACCACTTTTAATACCGGGCTTTGATTGTGATTTACTTGGTTTAACTATTTCTCTCTAGCAAGGTTTTTTGTGGTGTTTAGTTGGTTCAATGCTTGCGTTTCCAGTCATGGCTATGGAGTAATGGATCTTTGGACTGCAAAGCTGTTTGGTTGACACAGGGCGGATTTTCCCTTGGGTCCCGCAAAAAGTTGAAGACTTTGCGCAGAGGGGTCGTTGCGGCAACCAGCAAGTCTTTGTTCCCAATGCTTGATCTTTTCCAGAGCTGTGAAAGGCGGCTTGACGACCCGTGGGATGAAATTGCCACAAAAAACGGATCCTTCTTCGGGCATTCCTCAGGGATTAAAAAAATAAAAGAAGACCTATACACCTCCGAACCCCCGGAAAGCCTGAATCGTTTGGCCCAAACATAGTGGGGAGATCGCGGGAGTTCACACGGCCAGGGCCGCGAAAAGCACGCCGATGAAAACCCGCTCTCCGGCCCTTCCCCCTATGTTCATCCCCTAACTCCTTTGCTTCCATCCTTGGTTGCTGTTGACCCCGCTGCAAAAAGTTGCTTTAACTTTTTGGGGGGTTTAGTGGAAAACGCAACTTGATTTCAACCAAAAAGTTAAAGTCTAAAGATCCGTTGCCCAATAGCAGTCAAGCATCCTCTAGAAGCCCTCTTAGCCTCACAGCTTTCCAAGGAGCTACTGAAGGCCAGAGTCAGACATGGAACCATTCCCTTCTTTCACACATGGAAACCCTTGGAAAAGCTTTCCCCACCAGCGACTCGCTCCGTGTCCGAAAAAAACAAAGGTCAAGGCCCCTCGGGTTCCGCACGCACCGGCTGCGCCGTCTCCTTCGCCAGCTTCAGCAATGCGGGCACCTCGCGAGCGAGCAAAGGGGATTGAGCGGCGCAAAAAGAAACCGGGAACCACGAACCTCTTGGCTTTCCCTGGGCAATTGTCGCAGGAACTCTCTGAAATGGACCCTGTGGCGCCATGCTGAACAAAACTTCCGGTTGGTGGAGTCTTGGGAATGCCCAGCTGCGTCCATCCGCCACCAGGGCTGGTCTCTGCGTATATCACGTGCGTTTGGTCACGAGCTGCTCCAAAAGACAGCCACACGCAGCGGCAAGTGCCTAGCGGCCAGCTCGTTCCCAAGCAAAAAGAGAACTGATACACATCCCTCCGGGAAGACCACCGGCTGGATCCCAGATTTCAAAGAAAACCAGGTTTCGTGGATGCAAAAACATCCCATTGGCACAAACAGGAAGTGTCTTTTTTAAGGGGACCCCCACAAAATGGCCGGTGTCCTGTTGGTTTCCCTTTCAAACCACCAAGAAGGGGCTACCCTCAAAAAGGCACGCCCATGCCACGTCAGCCCGCCCGCTCGCTGCCGTAACAAACGAGCCCTCGGTCGGCTTGGGGTGTTCTCCAAGTCGCCCTGAGGGCTGCGCGATGTTCATGATGTAGGGACAGTGAAAGCCTCGCACCGCCTCTCCTGATGCGGAAGGCTGGGGTGATAGCCTACAAGCACCTTGCAGGCGATCTAAACCCTTCGATGTTGCAAGTGAAGCAATAGAGTGCACTCGATTCCTCTTGTCTGCCCAAGAAAGGGCGAGGGAACTCGGTATCTTCAATTGAAATCAGACGAGCGCGAAGCTCTGGGCGAACGCGCAAAGGTTCTGACCACTTGAAACAGCGCAATGCGACTTGGCATGGTTCTTTCCTACTTCCTATCAAATGCATCGACAAGGTAAGTGCATGGCCTCCTTGTTCTTTCAATTAAACAAAAGCGGAGCAAAAGGGCAAGCCTTAATTCTTCCATACCGCATGAGGATTAGTCTGAAAATTCGGGACCCGAAAAATGACCACAGTGTCCTCTTGGTTGACCTACAAAATCAGAAAGAAGAAAAAAAGTCTCGCGAAAAAATAGGAATCCCTCTTTCAACATTAAAAAAAGAGATAAACAAATCAAAAAAGAAAGTTCCCCAAAAAGCGAAGACCCGTCCATGATATGGGAAGATGGGTGTCTTTTCGTGTGGGTCCGTTACGAGCCCCTTTTGGGTTGGTTCGAATGGGATGTGTCTTTTTGGGAGAAACCTTCCGCGTTGAGCGCCGAAGCGCGCGAGTCACCCCCCAGACTTCTCCCCCCGGCTTGCCCTGCGCGCTCCTCGCGACAGCACGCCCCAGCCCCAAGCGAAGGCACGGAGAATCTGAGCACAAATCCCAAGGCCAAAGAAAGCTCCCCGCTCTAGTCTGTGAGTTCGATAGCTGTGGCTGCATCATAAAGCAAGCAAGAGCTTCCTTTCAGACACAGATTCACATGGAGCTTTTTCAAAAAAATGGGGAGTGGGCCTCCTTATTCTTGTGAGAGTTTTAAGGGAAAGTGGTCCCCTACAGTATTTGGAGAAAGGCCCGCGTGGAACCCTCGAGAACACCGTTTTCTAGAGGAATCCGTGTTGAGTTCCATGAAAACTGGCAGAGTGCTCACATTTGGTTTTGCTATCCCAGGGTTTCCGTTTGGTTCTCCTTTCAAAAAGGCTCCAGGGCACGGTCGAAGAAGGGAGTCTTAGTCAAAACCTGGAATATTGAAGGCATCTACCCAAACCATTGCTTTGGTCTATCAAACAAGACACCCCCATTTGAGAGCTGAAACTAGGGAACCGCCTCCTGCTTGGAACATCCTTACGAACGCCCTGCACAACCCGCCACGAAAGCAAGCAGCATCATGACTGCCGTGATGGGCAACACGCAAAACAACCCATCAGCGCCGCAGCATGAGCTTGGCAACATCCTGAATGAAAGACTTCATAGGCAACAAACGCGCTTAGCTGGGGGTTTCCTCACGGTAGATTTGCGGCAAATACAACCACCATGCGATGACTGACCTTGCGAGATCATGTCAGCCATGTAGTTCCATATCCTGTTGACCCATGCGACATCGCCATGTCAGTTCAAACGGCACTATCGCTGGAAGGTCTTGACCGCATGGATAGCCGTGAATGTTGGAGCTTGGTTTCCCAGCATCCACAGTGAAAGTCATGACTAGAATGGCTGCGAATATCTGGCGTAGGCGTTGTATAACCTGTAGCTTCGAAGTGTTTCGGGTGGCCTGGAATGGTCTTCGTAACAGTTTGGATTGGGGAAGCAATCCTACTTGGTTGACGTTGGAAGGGGATCAAAAATTCTCAAATTTTAGCAGTTAGGCGGTTGGATTTCAACCACTAAACCACAATAAGCAAAAAAAAAAAACATGCCTAGAGAAAGCGTGATGCGCTTCCGCTGCCCTGCTCAAAGCCATCGGGATTCTGCCATGCTACGGCCGAAGCACATCTTGGATGATGCATGCTGTACAAGTTCCTACCATTGAAAGTCTTTTGCAGTAGTGAGGTGGTAGTGTGGTAGTGTGGTAGTGTGGTAGTGTGGCAGTGTGGCAGTGTGGCAGTGTGGCAGTGTGGCAGTGTGGCAGTGTGGTAGTGTGGTAGTGTGGTAGTGTGGTAGTGTGGTAGTGTGTGGTAGTGTGGTAGTGTGGTAGTGTGGTAGTGTGGTAGTGTGGTAGTGTGGTAGTGTGGTAGTGTGGTAGTGTGGTAGTGTGTGGTAGTGTGTGGTAGTGTGGTAGTGTGGTAGTGTGGTAGTGTGGTAGTGTGGTAGTGTGGTAGTGTGGTAGTGTGGTAGTGTGGTAGTGTGGTAGTGTGGTAGTGTGGTAGTGTGGTAGTGTGGTAGTGTGGTAGTGTGGTAGTGTGGTAGTGTGGTAGTGTGGTAGTGTGGTAGTGTGGTAGTGTGGTAGTGTGGTAGTGTGGTAGTGTGGTAGTGTGGTAGTGTAGTAGTGTAGTGTGGTAGTGTGGTAGTGTGGTAGTGTGGTAGTAGTGTGGTAGTGTGGTAGTGTGGTAGTGTGGTAGTGTGGTAGTGTGGTAGTGTGGTAGTGTGGTAGTGTGGTAGTGTGGTAGTGTGTGGTAGTGTGGTAGTGTGGTAGTGTGGTAGTGTGGTAGTGTGGTAGTGTGGTAGTGTGGTAGTGTGGTAGTGTGGTAGTGTGGTAGTGTGGTAGTGTGGTAGTGTGGTAGTGTGGTAGTGTGGTAGTGTGGTAGTGTGGTAGTGTGGTAGTGTGGTAGTGTGGTAGTGTGGTCGTGTGGTCGTGTGGTAGTGTGGTAGTGTGCTAGGGTGACAGGGTGGTAATGGTTGTAGGGCCCCTAAGGAATATGCACCAAAACCCGGAAACCGACCTGAGTCATCCAAACCTGGCACAGAACCCGTCACAAGAGCAGCGCCTTTTACTCATTGACTTCCGGTTCTACCATGGCTAAGGTTCATATGGCCCTTGGGTCATAATCCCGTACCCCCAGTGAACATCCCAATCCCCGATCAAATAGGTTCTAAAATGGGTGGTGCACCTACCGCAAAGTGGTACCATTGGTTTTGACCCGCAGCCATATGGCTGGGCTCTTTTTGTAAGGGTAGCCCCCTTTTTGGGGATGTTAAAAGGGAGAACCACAAACCACCCACCAACAACGGTTGGGCTTTCTGCAGCTGCGCCCTGCACAGAAGGCATCTTGGCATCCCCGCCGTGCCGCAGAGCAGTGCCATGGACGAGCGCTCCACAAGCAACTTCTCCTCCTTCCTTGGGCGGGTCACTCCATTTATTTTGACCTTTTCTGGCTGGTGCTCAGCAGGGAATGAGAAATGGAATGACCCTCATGAACCATCCCTTGTGGTTTCCTTTAAGGGAACTGGGTTTATTCCCACATTCCCTGCTGAGCACCAGCAAGTCTTGGTGGGTGGGAAATGAAGAGGAAAACGAGCAATGACAAGGAACCTCCCTAGATTTTGAAGACTACTTTCCTCAGTTTCCTGTCCAGCTCAACTGGAAAAAGGACCACGTTGGCCTGGACACACCCGCACTTCTTCTAGGTCCTCCAGTAGAGAGGTTAGAATAAGGGTACCCTTTTATCTGTAGTCTATTTTAGTAGGGGTTCCCCTCCCAAAAAAAAGGTAAAAGGGCACTACTGGGGGACCTAGTCTTGGCTGGAAACGCAACCCTCTCGAAGGCCGCTCCCTGAAAAACCAAAGCGATGGGGCCTTGTGCCATCCCATCGGGACTGTCTGGCTCTGAGACATGCCAAGCAACGTCTCAAGGATTTCCGCTGCCAATTTCCTTGCTGGTGCAAATGGTAGGGAATGTGAAATGGAATGAACCCAGGGAGTCCCTTAAAGGAAACCACCAGTTGGATGGTTTGGAAGGTCATTCTTTCATTCCGTGCTGAGCGCCAGCAAGTTTCTGACAGCTAAGAAGAATCGTTCGGCCTTGCCTCGTGAGTTCTCAACTTGTCGACTGTCTGAGCCGAGCTGCGCATCGCTGGATGTCTCCGCGGTCAGGTATTGCAGCGTGCTCGGCACCACCTCGTGCTAAAAACGGCCAGGTCACCCTCTACACAAACATCCTCAAACCAGGGAAAAATCAATTCGGTGTGCAACATGATAACGATTCAATTCCTTCAACTCTGACATGAAAAGATCCCAATTTGTCGATTGCCCCTTTGAAATAAAAGGCGAGGTGGAGGCATTTGTTCCAGCGGAAGCTTCGAGCGTTTCTTGCGCCGCACGCCCGGACCCCCCCTTTTTCGGAACGCTCCACTTTGGTGGCGCCCCATGAAGGGATGAGCAAGGGGAGATCCGCAGGAGCGGCAGGGGCAGAGTTGCGCAACTGAAGTCGAGGACCTGGGAAGCGGGCCAAAGCTGTTGACCCCCCAGTCACCCAAGATCTTCAAGCCAAGCCTGGACGCTCACCCGCATCTCCGCTGTTCGACGGCCAAGAACGCTTCAAGCCCCAGGTAAAAAGCAAGGCAGAAATGGGGCAAAGACCAAAATAAACGGGAAATATGTTGCTTTTTATTGATCCCGGTTCCTATCTGCCTCCTCCCCCCTCCCCGTATTTTCATTCGAGGTCCGGGCGGGGGACTCGGGCAGCTGGTGGTGCGCAAAGAACAAGGTGGAGAGGATCTCCGCGTGGACGCGCCGGAGGACCTCAGGCGCCAGAGGCTTCGAGTATCCTTTTTGGTTGGAAATAGATGGGTTTACCTGGTGGATGATTAAACCAGGTAAACCAGGAATCGCCATCTATTTTTCGACCAAAACAACTAAAAAGGACACCCATTCTCATGAGTGCAGGGATTCGTGGGTTCAAGAAAGACCAACTCTCCCTCTCTCTGTCATGCAAGCCACAAGTCTTCGCATGGCAGCGTGCGTGGCCTATGCCGGCTGAGTTTTCCAGACACTGGAAGAAAAGCGGATGCGTCAAATTCATCTCCTTTTAAACCATCCCCAAAGGGCACTGAGCTTGAGCTGAGAAGCCTGAGCTTCTTTAATATAACCGCCCTATTTTGACAGATACCCTCCCTCCCGCTAACATGGCACCTCACAGAAAAGCCCTGCAAGAGGAAGATGATCTTCCAGGTACCCTCCCACATATGCTATGTTAGTGGAAGGGGGTATCTCCCTGAACCCCTTGCTGCTTGCTGGACTCTAGGGGTCCCCGGCCGGGTTGCTCTGCTTGAGCCCGGCCAGGGATTGCTGCAGCGCCTGGCTTCCGAACTTCGCCCCCAACGTGCCCCATTTTCTGCGGGTACTCTGGGCTAGGACAGCCAAAGGGAAAACCGAAGTCGCTTTTTCTGAGCGGTCCCAAAAGAAAGGACACACGGAAAATTCAGGAAGCACCATGTCCCTCCCAAATGGAAGATGTGGAGAATGGTGTCTTTTTGATACGATCGATGGTTTCCCCCGGTAAATTTGGCCTAAAACCAATCTAAATCAGTGTTCTTCCGTCTACTTCTGTCTCCAAACTCACCAATGAAAAGGACGCCTATGACAAAGACCCAAACAAATTTAGGGTTTCAACAACATATGTCTGCGGGACAATCATAGGGTAACCTCAAAATGGTTTGTCCTGGTGGATGGGAAATGTGGACTGAGACCGGTCCAATTCCTGGTGGTTTAATTCATTTGCACCCATACCCAAAAAAAAACTCTCACCAATTCGCATGGAACCCGACAGGGATCCTGGTTTGTACCATTCTCCTTTTGAAGGCACCCCCTGTCAGGTTCCACGTTAATTGGTGGGAGGGCATATAGGCTTGCCCAAAAGAAATATATATATATATATATACATATGTAGTATATATGTAGACATATACATCATTTATATAATATGGCTGTGGGTCAAAACCCCGTACCCCTGGTGAACATCGAAAAATAGGTGGCACATGGTTTTTTCTTCCCCAAAATAGAGGCATGGCAAAAGGACCCATGGCCGTTTTCTACACTCAAAGCTTCTGCGTGGCCTGTTCGACGGCCTGTGCCGGTGGGGCCACTTTCAGACCCCGGACGCGCACGTGCTCGCCTCGGCTGTGCGGCATAGGCCTATGCCCCGCTATTCCCCCCCCCCCCCCCGACTTGGAGTTGGTACCTGTTTTAGGGTTTAAGAGGAAACCAACCAAAAAACCACCCATTTTGGCGATCCCCTAAGAAATGACACCCATATGGCTTTCTGTGTATTTCAGAGGGTATCCCTACCCCCACCCAACCCCCACCCCTGGCTTTGTTTGGTGGCTTCAAGGGAAAGCCAAAAACCGAAGTTAATTTGAGGGTAAGGTTTGTTGGGAATCCACCTACGGTGGTGCGAAATGGATTTCGTCCATCAGTAGTATGGCTTTGCGTGGTTGAGGGGGTCCTCCTCTTTGGTGGCTTCAAGATTTGTTTTGTTTTGGTGTGGGGGATAAAGAAAGACACACCCAAAAAGAATTCCTCAATCAAAAAAGACTACGTGAGGCATGATCAAAACGCTTCTCGTGTCTCCAACTGACATGGACGTTGGTTAAAGCCTGCATTTGTTTAATGGCGTAGTGGTTGGGTGATACAGTGATACTTACGGTTCGATGTGGATATCTACCTTATCCTGAATAGCATCGCTGAAAGATGCGCATTTTGCGACACAAATCCGGAGAAGTAGGGAGAGCTCAAAAAAGGGCGAGTCCTCTCTTGGCCTTCCTCTTGGGTGTTTTTGGGCGTCTGTTGGTGCCCTTGAATTCAGATGTCTTGCGACCAACTCTCTGCCAGTCCTTGGGGTTTCAAGGCGGGGGACCCCGCCTTCGAGCCGAAAGGGCGCGGAGAGTCTGACTTTTTGGATCGAGGTCCTCCAGTAGTTTGAGGTTAGAATTTTTCGGGTACCCGATGAGTTGTGCTTTTTTTTGTGGTCTATTTTGAGTAGGGGAACCCTCCCCCAAAAGAAACGGTGAGACAGGGCACCACTGGGGGACCTAGTTGAGAACCCCAGGCTCCCTAAGGCGCTGACGCAAGTAAGCCAACACCTCGGTCAAAGCAGACCGAGATGGGCAAACGCAAACCTATTGGGTGTGTGTGTGTGTGTCTTTTCTACGCCGGGAGAAATGTGAAGCAGCGTCCGGCAAGTTCCCACTTTCTCCGCGAAAACGAAGGCCCAACGACATGAAGCCTACAGAAGGAGTTGGAGCCAGCTTGGCTAAAGGCTAGTCCTTGTTTCCATTTACCAGGGCAACCCAGTTTGTATGTTGTAAAAAAACAAACTGTAATCATACACATACGTACACCCCAACGGGCACAGAACGCCTTCAGGCCGAGCTCTGCCTAGCTCTTAGCCAAGGACGACACTGGACGGTTGCTCAAAAGTTGCCTGGCTTGTTGAAGTCACGACCGCCACACACACACACATGGAAAAACCAGCATGTTCTCATTGAAAGAATCACAAGAATTCAACCCCAATCCAACCATAAATGGCAGAAGCATCGCCTGACACGTCTAATCCAATGAGGTCCTATGCTAAATCAAGGCACAGGTGCGTCTTAGAGGCTTAGCAAATCAGGGAACTTAAATATACAAAAGCTCTCAAACAAAATCATGGTGCCATCCTTCCAACACAAGCGACAAGGATGACCGTGCCCAGGATTCACCCCTTTTCAACAGCACGTGGGGATGGGCACAGGTTCTCAACCCACTAGCTGGTCCTACCTGGTTCTTGGGGCTACCCCTTTTCGGTATAGAAGTAAAGCTCTTCAGGGTACATCATATATATATATATATATCATATATAAAGGTGGCAATGTATCTGGTTGGTTGGTGTGTGGCCAGCACATCTTAGCAACGCGCTTCCCCCAACTAAAACCTGGCACCCTCGAACCTACAAGTGTCGCAACGCCGGTGCTCAAGGAATGAGAAAAATGCAATGACCCCTAACCATCCACCTGGTGGTTTCCTTTAAAGGGTCCAACGGGTTCAAATCCCATTTCTCATTCCCTACCAATTTGGCTGTGGGTCAAATCCCTGCACCCCTGGTGCACATCAAAAAATGGCTGGCAAATGGATGTTCCTCCACCCCAAAAATGGGATCCCATAGCTTATGCAACCCAAGAAAATCCATTTCGCCTTCCCTAAGAAGTGGAAAGAGATGAGAACCAAGGAATCTCCCCTTTCAACCAACCCATTTCGTTTGTTTCGCAGCTCCCTCCCCGCCGCTCCCTCCGCGGCTCCCGGCCGCCACGGAGGCCATGGCGTGGAGCTCCGGACCCGCGCCTCCGATTCCGCCGCTTCGCTTGACCCACCGGACGCGGAGAGGCGCCCAGCGGGAGGAGTCACTGAAAATTCCTCCAGTAGTTTGAGCTTAAAGAAGTTGGTACCCAATTTATTTTGTCGGTAGTCTATTTTAGTAGGGGAACCCAAAACCCCAAAAGAAGGGGTGAGAAAGGGCACCTAGCTGGGGGAAACAGAGTCGGTTCCCCGGTAAAATATCCAACAAAGGTTATGGTTTCAACCATGGTTTCAAAAGTGGTGCAGCTGTTTTGTCCATGCACAGTATGGCTTGCTGTGTGTTTCAAAGGGTACCCCTCTGCCCATTTGTTTGGCGGGTCGCGGTGTCCCTCTTTTGAGACAAGCCCACATGTTTGCCAGAACCAGTGGGTCGCAAGGCGCGGACACAAATTCATCACCTCTCCCAGTTCCGCAGCGGACCTTGCAAATGGTTTTGGTTGCCCATTAAGCCAACCTCAAAAAAAGGGTACCCTGAAGCAACGCACAAACTCATATGGGTGTGTCTTCCTTTTGGGGACCCGGACCCCCCAAGACCCGCTTCGGCTTTCCCTTTGGCTTTCCCCTTAAACACCCTCAAAAAGAAATGGCGATGTGCCTTGGCTTCGTTTGGGGACAACCCCAAGAGGAGGTGAGTGTCTCGTGCCCAATGTGGCTGGCCCTCCATTCAGCACGATCCTGTTGGCAAAAGTCGACTCGCCGTCCAGTAGAACTTTCAATAGACAAAAAGGCCGTGATTCACCGCGTGGAAAACAGGGAAGGCCTCCAAGCCCTCAGGAGCGTTTTGGCGGGAAAATACGGCCCATTTTTCACGAGGGCCTTCGGGTGGAGGCGTTTGTCCGATTCGCCGTTTAGCTTCGCAACTGGCCTTAGTGAACATTGGCGTCTCAGACGCTCGGAGTTCACCAGGCAGTGGTAGTACCTTTCTTGTGTTCATTCACGAGCTCTGGTGGAGTTCCTGAATATTGCAAGTGAACTAACCACCAGACTCCGGTACATGGCAGAATCTTCATTCCCATCAACCCTAGTGTTACTGGCTTCCCCAGAAAAAGCCGTGTTTCGCCCTCCCAACCCTTGCTTGAGCACCGATCGTCAACAACTCCCACAAGCACTGGAAACGGGGTAATGGTGACCCAGATTAAATGAGCAGCAGAGTGTGGTGGTCGCTGTAATCCAGAGGGAGTAGCCACTCACCGCAAGTTCGGGGGTGGGGGGCTAGTCCGCCCCCAGCCCCCTCCCCCAAGTCCCACTGCGCCTTCCTCATTGCGAGGCTTCAACAGGTGCTGCAGCACCGCAGCTCGCGGAGCCTCACCCACCTCGCGCAAAACGAGCTGGCGGGCTCCAAGGCAACTGGACCCCATGGCACTTGCAGTGGCTGACTCAGGGGACCTTTCTGTTGGCCTGAAAACCACCAAAAAGATGGGGTACGAACGAAAAGAGACCCCTCGCCCGGATCGCAAAGCGGAAGGTGAAGCCTTGAAACCTGTGCTCCTTTGCCTTCGCAGGAAAACTTCAGGCACAACGATGTGCAGTGGATCGAAACCCTTCGAGTTCGTTACTATGTAAGATAAGCACGGCGTAAAGAGAAACAGCTACCCGTCCCCCCGCCGTTAAACAAATCCCGAAACTCCCAAACCCGCCTTTAAGGTGTCCCCCAACACTGGAAGCTTCCCGCCGCAATATGTTTGGGGAAACCGAATGAGTCTTTACCTGGAGAAGCATCTCCAGCATGCCTTGGGCCATAAAAATCTTCAGCTGACTTGAACCTAAGAGATCTCATATGGCCGTGGGTCAAAAAATAGGGTAACCCCCAAAATGGAACTTGCCCCGGTAAGTGGCATACATGGACCCCAAAACCTGTGGCAACCAATTCCTGGTTGAAAATTTTGACCCACGCCCAACTCAAGTGAGGGCTTCTGAACCCGAAGGCTGAAAAAAGCGTCTCACCTTCCGAACGAAATCGACGGAAGCCCAAAGATTTCGCCCAAAACGTTCGCTGCGAGCGGAGATGGGGCGTTTGGTGTGATCTACCTCCCGAGATGCCCTGCCCCTCAACCTGAAAGTGTTTCTGGCACAATGTCCCATGTCCTGCATTTGGAAGAAAAAAAAGGAGGACAAAACCCAAATGGAGAAAGGTGCCATCTGCTTTCTCTCCCTCTCTCTCTAACTCTCTCTCTCTCTCTTTTCTCTTCTCTCTCTCTCTCTCTCTCTCTCTCTTCCACTCACCCAACTGCACAATAAGATTTCTGCCCACCAACCACTTCGGCCAGTCCGAGCATCCGCTCGCCTCTGCCGCATTCATGATGATGGCCAGAAGCTTGACAGAGCTACAGCGCCTCGCTTCAAATTTCGAAGCCCCTACCGGCTACCACGCATCCAAAGGGCACCCGGGTTATGAAAACAATGCACCCAAATGGGTATCAAGGTATTCATGGGTATCCATGGGTATCAAGGTATCCATGGGTATGGTGTCAAGAAAAACTTCCATAGTTTTGTTTTTTGGTTGTTTTTTTTTTTGTGTTTCTTCTTTTTTTACTTTTCTTTTCTTTTATGCGGGTGTCTGTCCTTGGGATTGTGTTCAAGGGAATCACATGGAAGCCGCAAATCTTGGGCCGAGGCTTCCCCGTTTTGCGGCAAGCCACTCGACGTGAACGCGCCGAGGACAAAGCCGTCAGTCCAAGAAGTGATGCGTGCAAAAGACTTGGTTTCTTGGGATTGGGGGGCGGAGTTTTTGACGAAGGAACGTTTTTGCATCAGCATGGGAAAAACTCAGCGTGGGCATGTGAGCGCATGCATTGAAACTTTTCTAGTGTTTGTAAAGTTGAGCTGTAAGTGGCAAAATGAAGAAGACGTGTGTAATTACGTTCCCCCTAAGGACCTCCCAAGGTTCAGCGCTATTGGCCAAACTGGCTGTGTTTCAGGTAGCTTAGCTCCCACATCCATCAAACTGCAATGCCTCCCCTGCGAGAAACGGAACGGATAGCTGACCTGAGCACAACAGGTGGGTATGCATTCAGATTAGGACTCCTGGGGCAGACCTCGTTTAGGCGGGGATTCATTTCACCAGCCAGGTGGTTCCCTATTCAAATTCACAGCCCTGCATGTGTGCTGCGGAAGTGTATGCAATACAAAAGTCATGAGAAGCTTCAGGTAAACCGACGGCCACCGGAGGCGGAAGCTCCGTTCCTCCTTTCCAACTATAGCAAAAAAATCAGGCTGCAAGGGGTCTGCCCAAAACGTTGGAGAATGGAAACTGGCATAGATAATTATTCAATTGGTTACGAAAGAAACTCGCAGCACCAAGGAAATCCGCTGAACTGAAAACAAAAGTTGTTCCTTTGGTTTCCCTTTCGGAACCACACCAACAAGACATGCCCATATGCGTCTGTCTCTTTGTTGAGGGTGCCCTTTCTGGGCGGTTCAAAATTGAAACCCAAAAGGAAAAACACCATTTCGGGGGGCGCTCCCCCAAAAACGGACACGCCCCTTCTGGGACAATTATGAGCCTCCAAGGCCAGTTCTCGCAGGCATTCTGGCCGGGGCTCCGGCCAATCCCACTCCGCGGACACGCACTGGCCTGCGAGGTGCTGGGTGGAGTCGAACCAGGCGTCCCAAGGCCTCGATCCGAAATCTCGGGTGGAAGCGATGCCTTGCAGGACACCACGTCCGAGAGCTGAGTCATAATCGTCGACCCAGAACCATGTAAAGAATTGAGAAGGTGGCCGTCGGCTACTTATGGTTGGCATTGTCCCTTACTAACCTTCACACACCCGGATTTTGATTGTGACTCTTCTGACAAGCCCGCTGCCCCCCCAGGGCTGCAGGAGTCAGTAGGCAGGTTCTTTCCCGACACGCAGAACTATCTGATAGCCATGTGATTCCTTTTCGCTTCCTGCTCAAGCCAAATTGCCAACCTATGCACCATGACCACCGAGCAGTATTGACATTGAGGTAATTCGAAGGCCTTATTGAGCACGATTTGGCACTCAAACATGTCTTGACCAATTGAGCACAATTCAGCCTTGTTAAGGCTTTATAAGGCTTACTGTATCAAGCCTTATTAAAGCTTAATAGTGCTCAATTAGGGAACTTCCACACAAGGCCAATGACGCCCTCAATTCTCGTTTTGCCTACGGGTGCTCCCGTACGTATGGGGGGATAACACCCTATGATATCACTATCACTCCCTACCTATCTTTTGGTTCCTCTTCCAAACCAACGACAAAAACGGATGCCCCGAAGACAATGCCTGCTGGGGGTGGCGTTGTTTTGAAGCTAGGTTTCATGGAAACCAAAACGGAATCACCATTTACAGGGGCCTCCCCGTCATTGGGGACACAACATTTTTGGGCCTCGAGCTCTCCAAAAAAACACCGGCCTATCAGGTGATACCCTTCCGAAAGAATAGGACTTGTGGTTTCCCAGCCAAGCATCCAACCAAGATCCCCTTGTTTAGACCCAATTTGCAAGCAGAGCATGATCCAATGACTAGACCATCGCTACGACGAGGACGAGGGCGGCAAAGTGCGTGTAGATCCTCCATGTCGAATTACCTTGATCTTGTTTCGTATGGGGCTTTTCTGGTTGTATGAGCATCCCTAAGATTGACATCCCTGAATCCCTTTTCCTCAGAAAAGTGTGACCTACCTGAGTGAACCTAAGCTTACTGAGAGGATTGACATCAAGGACCCCGCATCCCCCATGGATGGGGACCCGGCGTCAGCATGCAGTCCGTGCCACCCGGACTCTCCCGGTTCAAGCTGCCTGGGACATTTTTTCCCCAGTTCGAACCTGCACAGGAATGGGCTCAACTGGGCTTGCCTCTCCCCCCCGTGTTGTTCCCCTTTTCTCTGGGTTTGTGCATCCTGAAAATACCCTGGTTGGTGAAAGGGAAACTCGATGGAAAGCCATCATTCTTGGGGTTCCCCTATTTCGAGACATATGCGCCCCGGATTTATCCAAACCCATCTCGCTGATGACGGGGTTTCACCCCCAAAAAGTGAAGGATTCCCACCAAAACGGGGGCCGCCCCTTTTAAACTCAACCAACCATAGGGTGTCTTCATCTGGTGTCCACTGACCCGAACATGACGCCCGACGCCTGACGCCACCGACTCACGCCGCCGACGCCGCGCTCCGGGTCGCCGGGCCAAAGATGCAGGCGGCGCCGGGATCGGAGCCCAGGTCCCTGGGGGAAGTCGACCGGATCAGAATCCGTCCGAACGCCCGGGCGAGGCTTGGTGATCTGAATCCAAGGAACCACACTTGATCGTGTTTGGAGCGAAACGGGTTGAACCACACCAACCAAAAAGCTTCCGAAAGGAGCAAGAAACGGATCGGCCACGACCCGAAAGATACAACGTATACTCTTGGAAGGATGTGAGTGTGTGTGTGTGTGTGCTATTGTTTTTTCTTCTGAGGGTAGGCCCTTTTGGTTGGCTTGAAAGAGAAAGCAGAAGGAACATTACCATTTTGCGGGCCCCAAAAAAGAGACATACCCATGCCAAGCTACGTACCATGCACTGAATCACCGAGTCTGATAAAGCAGGCTGGACAAGCCCAGATGCAGTCTGGGGAAGCTCTGGCGGAGTCTGGGATCCACCAGTGGCGCATATTGTGTTTTTTTCTCATGAAAATTTGGACCTGCATACATTGAGAACTCTTTCGGCACGCGGGGCTTCGACATGTTCAAGGTCATTCGGTGTTGTTGAGACCCCCCAAACCCAAATGACCGCTCAAATCTGGCGGCCGAGCTCGGCGAACGGCGATCCCTCTTTACCTCGCGCTGGCGAGACCAAGCACCAAACCAGAATCCCCACCAACCGCTGCGAGAGCGTGTGTGTGTGTGTGTGTCGTATAATCGGGTCAGTGAGTAAGGATTTGGGACCCCAAAAACGCGATTCTACTTGTATGACTAACCAAAAAGGGCACTCCCCATTTATGCCGAGGCCAAATTTGCCATACCCTCCATGCAAATAAATAGACTAGCAAGTCCGCGGGTTTGTTCCTGGATATTTAGCTCTCCATAGGCTGGAAATCTCGACTTCTCTAGGGCAGCCGCTGTGAAGCATATTCCCAGCGGAGAGGAGTTTGTTCACCTGGTGGCGAGCCAAGCTCTGGAGAGAACAAGCAGACTTTTGGGGAAAACAAAAAGCTTGCTCACGCAGATGGCTGGTTTCACCATGGGTTGATGCCCTCTTTGGGTCTGGAAAACTAGAGATGGAAAAACCCACCAGGGCCCCTGCCGCCAGCCGGACCGTGGAGGAACACTCGCGGCTGCTCCTTAGAAGACAGCAAGAAACCTCCCAAGGTGACACACTCCGTGCCAATCCTGGCAATGTAGCTCTCTGAGGTGTGGCTCCTTTGTGAGGCTTCAGCTTTTCTCGTTTGACTTGAAGAAAAACAGAGTGAGAGAGAGAGAGAGAAAGAGAGAGAGAGAGAGAGGATGAGAAGACCTTTTTCCTGGGGGTCTAGTATTTGGAGGCAAAAACATCTCCATTTGATGCCCAAAACGCATACTTTGATGACATGTCCCTTTTCTGGAGCTTCAAACAACAACACGGAGCTATCCAATCAGCAGGTGAGAACCCCAGCCACTTGCCGCGCCCAACCACCATGCCAAAGAGGGAGTGTTAATCTTAAGCTTGTTTACTAGCAGTTGGCTTCCCTATCATCGTTGGTTTGGATTCGTTTTTTGAGGTTAGGGATGGTGTCCCATTTTACCCTACCAATTTGGACCAATTCACATGGAACCTGACGTTTGGGGGGTCCTGGAAGAAAATACATTTGAGGCTACCCTCTTCAAGAACCAGAAGTTCAAAACCCACCCACCCCTGTAAGTCATAATCAACACCCGGTACTAAAATGGTCGACCCAGAACTCTTTGTGGCAAGGGGATCGTCCCGGTATGAAAATGCCAATTGAAACCCGGTATCAAGATGGTCGTAATCCCAGAACCATGTAAAGAAGCCCCTTACTAACCTTCATCTACCCGGGTTTTGAGCACGTGGCTCCTTTGTTCGTCAGAGGAAAAAACAATAGAAACTTGGCAAGGGGATGGTCCCTTGCTCATCGACCCGCGTTTCGATGGATCATGTGCACCGGGGCCGCAGCTCCAGGTGAGCATCCACCAAGTCCAGCACCTAAGAGGCGTGAGATGACGTGCGGGCTTGCCAGCCAGCTTTCGGGACCCGACCCCAAAACCAAGAAAAAGAAAAACCGAGCACGTGGCGGTGGGTCAAAGTTGGCTAAAACAAAAGACCGACCTCCCCCCCACCCCAAATGGCACCTTGGGTATGTGAAAACAACAACTTAAACCCGCGGCTTGCGTGATCTGGATTGGTGGCTTGGTGGTGAAATGGAGGGGTCTCCCACGTACCCACTGCAAAAGCCAGGGGTTCAAATCCAAATCCAAACCACCAATCCAAACCACCAACTAAGGGGTGCCTGACCACCCTCATCCACTTCCCTCCGCCTGCGCCAAAACCGAAAAATTCACGCGACCCGCTTCCCGGGCGCTCGGGCGATGTCCATACGGTGCAGGGACTGCGAGACCAGCTCGGCCGCCGGGAAGTCCGCAGAGAGCCCCTGGAAAAAAAATCGACGGGCTCAGGCAGAACATCTACGAGTAGCCATGACACCCAACAACAATAGTAAGAATAATGAAACCAAATAATGAATTGATAATAACTCATTTATTGTATTTTTTAGTTTGACTTTTTTAGTTAAAAAAAAAAAAAAAAAAAAAAAAAAAAAAAAGTACTCTTGGTTCCAAATATACAACCTCGTTGTGTAACCATTTGAACTTGGCCCAAAGAGCCTGGCCAAGTAAAGCACTCGTTCGCGGGTCTTAGAGGTTGCCCACATGACCATGGGTCAAAACCCCGTACCTCCAGTGAACCTCTCAATCCCCACTAAAATCGACTAAACTGGGTGGTGAATTCACCTACCAACAAAACTGGATACCATTGGTTTTGACCCACAGCCACATCTGAAGATCCCTCAAAGGCCGCGACGCAAGCTCAACATGGTCTCGTCAGTACCGCCGGCAATTCGACATGTAGATCTCTGAATCTCCGTGGGTTCCCCTGGTCTCCTTTTAAACCACAAAAAAAAAAAAAAACGGGCCCTGAAAAATGAGAGGTGTGGGCCAAAAGTAGGTACCCAAGATGGGACCCTGGTAAATGGAACCAAGGACTAAATCCTACGGTCCAATTCCTGGTGGTTTACTTTTGACCCATATGGCCACCCAATCCCCATTAAAATAGACTAAAATGGGTGGTGCACCTACCCCAAAATGGGATCCCAAAACGGCTTTGACAACCACAGCCATATCCATTCAAGTACCCTCCCTTCTTCCTAGCGGCCATGAAGTCGGCCCAGACCGAGACGCCCACCCGTGTGACGTCGTCGGCCAGCATGTTCAGAAGGGGCACCTCAGGTTGCCACGCACTAATGTTAACCGCGGATTAAGCAGAACCCCTGGCCCCTGGCTGATTTTGATTGGGGGGTGTCCCCATTTTCGTGGGGATTCATCACCCCCTAATAATGGGACGGGTTTATTAATCCTGTGTCAACATTAGGCCCAAACTACACCTGGCTGGGCGGTCAACATGGGTGAATTGGTGTGTGTCTGTGTGTCTGTGTTGTTTATAACCATTGCCATGATGAAGCCTCTTGCTAGCATCATCAACAAGCGAATGACCATGGCTTGGTCATAGCAAGTTGCCAACGATCCGACTACGTAACGGAAGCCCTTTTGCCAGCCGCAAAGGCCTCCCCATGTTCAGGCCCGCGCAAATCGCGATGAGTACAGGGATGGCCTCAGGACCATGCTTTTCTTCTGGATCTGAAGGCATGTGACATCGAAACCGGTGCCAAGTTCCCGGCTGCATAGCGGCAAAGGTCTTGTACATGGTTGCCTCAGGCAAGCGAGCTCACTCTTAGATCAAGGGAGTATGGCGGCAAATGTTGGTATGTGTCAGAGGGGAAGCAGTGCTTTGGGATGGCCAAGGAAGACGAAAAAACATTGTGAGCAGTCGTCCAAACGGCTTGATACGCAAAGGAATCAGGCAACAAGAAACAAACATCAAACAATGGAACAACCAACAGGTAACAAACAGCATGCAGCAATATGCAACAAGGAGCTGTCAAGGCAACTGTAGCCAGCAACACGCAACAAGAAACAAGCAGCGGCAAGCCAAAAAAAATAGCCAAGCGCAACAGGCACCGAGAGACACATGAAGCAGGCAGTAAGAAACAAACAGCAAGCAAACGGAAGCGGGAAACATGAAGCAAGAAGCAAGCCTGAAAAGGAACAACAGGCGATCAGCAATACGAAACAGCAGCATACAGCAGGAAAAAAAAGCATGCAGCAGGCAAAGCAGCAACGTAACAAACAACCACATCAAAGCGCAGCAAACAACACGGAACAAGACGCTGGCAACAAGAAACATGCAGCAGGCAACAGCAAAGTTAAAAATTGTAGCGCCAGCTGAGTCTATCTGGTACATGCAGGCCACGCCACAATGCAACATGATCGATTTGATGATCTGGAGGTAGCCCCTCAAGTCGTTTCAGTAGCAACCAGAACAGGCAAACTTGATGTGTGTTTAATAATAATAATAATAATAATAATAATAATAATAATAATAATAATAATAATAATAATAATAATATTAATGTTAATGATAATAATAGTAATGATTATACTAATAATGATAATACTAATAATAATAGTAATCATAAAAGAGAATAAATAAAAGAAGGAAACAAAAGAGCTGGCAGAAGGGGCCGCCACAAAAGCACGCAAGCTTGGCGAATGTCCGTCTCCTCTCAGGGCGGCGCCCGGATCATGAGGAGGATCTCAGGGATGCCGCACTGGCCGGACATGGTGATGATGGGCCGACCTGCTGGCTGTGGTTGTCAAAACCAATGGGATCCATTTTTGTTGGTAGGTGAATTCACCACCCATGTTAGAACCTATTTTAGTGGGGATTGAAATGTATGACTGAACCTCATGTGTCAAAAAATCTGCCCATCGAAACACAAAAGGAGGAGAGGCTGAATCTGAAGCCTCCAGAAAGCAGAAATTCGGAACCGAAATGGGAGGACCCCAGCTCAGCTGAGGAAGGCCAGTGGAAACCTCTCAGTCGCGCCTGGCTGGCCAGCATCCTGGCAGGGAAGCCGGATGTGTGATCTCTGGACTCCCAGGAAACTCCTTCGAACTGGTGAAAAGTTCTATGCGTTGAGCACTTGAAGATCCGGGAAAAACGTGGTGGCCAAGCCAAAGGATCCCACAATCGCCCTAAAGTCTCAAAGATCAAAAGGACCGTGTGGCTCTCAGACTGCAATTTGGGTCCCGGAGACCTCCCAACAAGTCTTGGTTGACGTTGGAAGGGGAGCAAAAACTCTCAATTTTTAGCAGTTGAGTGGTTGGATTTCAACCACTAAATCACAAGAAGCAAAAATTCGCAAAAAATAATGTGTCCCAACAACCACCATGAAGTCCTGTGTGACGCCGATGGAAAAAAGTATGTGTCAGTTTCCTCAAGCCTCGACCAAAAAAAGAAACACCCGAGAGGTTCAAAGGGAGGCGTTGGTGTTCGGGACGGGGCAGAGATCGGCTTGGCTCGAGCTGTTTGAGGATGCCCCTCCCCTGTCTTCTTTCAGGTGCTTCAAAAGGCACAAGGAAAGCCGCAAATTGTTGGTCCCCAATTTGGGTTTGTCTCAAAATAGGGAACCTTCCCATTAACATCATTCAAAAAGGGTACCCTCAAAATACGGCACACCCATTTCGACACGCGCCCAGATGGACAATGGAAGGACCTGCTGAAAGGAGGGGATTGTCAACTGAATCGTGCTGCGTACATCTGCATGGGAAAACTGGAGGGCTCCCCATAAATTTCCCCTAAACACCACTCCACTCATCAAAGCTGCCAAAAAGACGATGCTTCAGCCAGCTGAAAAGGGATTTAGAAAAGGGACCCCTGAATTTGGGTAGGGCAACCTGGACCTTCGGGCAAGGGGTGGTCCCCGCAAATCTTCGCCTCCCATTCCCCCCGTGATTGCTTTCGAGTTTAACATTCTCCTCTTTCTATCCCACGCTGAGAGAGAGAGAGAGAGAGCTCCTTTGCCTTTGGGTCATGTGTCAGGCTTGGCGAATTGAACCAACCACTAAGCTTTTCCAGATGCGGGGGAGTCTGAACAAAGGTTCCATCGTGGTTTTTGGCCGCTTTCGGCGAGCCGCAACTTTGGCCCGTCAAGAGCCGCTTCACTTGGATTTGGTTGCAGATCGGACGGTTCCTAAAAGAACCTCCCTCCGAGCCAGCTGGTTTCAACCAATGGATAAGAACTAAGATGCTAACTAGAGAAGATATAACAGCATATATGTGTCGTCAGTTTCATGAGTGTATATATATATATATATATATGTCAATGCTATTGGGTATACCCTCGCTCCAACGAACCTGGAAGTTTGCAAACCACGTTCAGAATCCTTCCAAACAGAAGGGCCGTGCATGTCTAAGTCGGCGGATAGGTATCAATATTTGGTCAACTATATCTCTGTCCAATTTCTTACTCGGGCCTAAATAGAATTGGGGTGTCAGGATATCGGGAAAGCATTTGTTGTGATTCTAAGACCAGCTATTCGACTCGTTTCGGCTCCTTACAAATTAATCAGCGGATGGTTTGGAGGGTCAGAATTCAGCCAGGAATCGCACCGCAGCAACTCCAGCCCTTTCCATTCACCAGACCTTGCGCCATGTTGGGGCCAACTACCCCTGGAGGCCTTGAGGCATTTCATGCGCGCCGCCTGGCGGTACTTGGCTCGGAAGCTCGAGGAGGTCGGGTGCGGCCTTGGAGAGAAATCCCCCGCGGCATCCTCTCGACGTTTTTGTTGAGGGTGCCTTTCTTGAGGATACTTGTTTCCCCCCCCCCTTTTTCCGCAGGTTTTTGCAGGGAAACCAAAAGGAAAAACATCTTGAGGGGGTTCCCAAAACAAAGACACGGTCATATGTATGTGTGTGTATACATGCACAACAAACATTATGGTGCGCCTGTGCATCTGCATGGGATACATGTGTGTTTGTGCGTGTGTTGTAGTGTGCATTGTGCGTTGCGTCTTGTGTCTTGTGTCTTGTGTCTATATGTGCGTAAGTGTCTGTCCAATTCTAAACATGCGCATATGAGAGAAAGGAAGGGAGACTTTGTGCATCTGCATCTCGCCAGGACTGCTCAAGTCTACGCAAAGGTTTCACCCATGGAGTTACGGAGGTGGAACGTTTACATAAGCATAATTGCCATGAGACTTCCTATTGGTCATGAATTCCTTTGGAAACTCGTCCATTGGGGCAACATCCTCCGACACCAAAGCTATGACCACAAGTCAACTCCCGACTCCGTTGCCCTGCCTGACGACATCGCGCCGACTCGACTGCGATTTGCCCTGAGGCCAGCGCAAGGCAACCACCAGCTGCGAGATGTTCGTCAGAAAGACCACCAGGATCTTATGCAAGTGCGGCCTTGGAGCTTGTTTCCAGCAAAACCTTCGGCTTGTCTCTTGCGGACCAAAAAAAAATCGCGAGATGGGCCTGTGGCCATGGGAGTTTTGTTGCGGCCGCATAAATCTTGGCCAGCTCACAGGAAAGCCGTGCAGCCACCTGCCCAAATTGACAAAAGTGGGTTTGGGGTGCTTGGCTGCCACAATGGGGCCTGTGTCAATATGCATACCGAACGTTGGCAGATTGAGGCTGCGACAGCGTTGTGAGGAGAGTGTCCCTGGAATGCCAGGTGAAGGCATACAAGGACCGCCTCAGTGACTTCAAAACCGAGAAGAAAAAAAACGCCTCAAAAAACTTCAATTGTGCCATGCATCTGAAATCACAACCACGGGTTGCCTTGTCGCTGATCTTTAACCTGAATTCACAAAAGACTCCTTCGCAAATGGAAGTCTGCCGGGAAATATGACGGAGCCAAATTACGCAAGTGGTGGTTTAGGCTTGTTGTGCCTGAGCTGCCCTTTGTGTTTGGGAAGAGTCAGGCGCAATTGTATGCTTGTCCCCCCAAAGTTGTTCTTTTCTTTGTTCCACATGGAGGCAAGTTGACTTCCCTTCATGAAATGCACAATTCTCCAGGGGGCGTCTGGGTTGAAGAGGATGTCGAGTCGTCCGAAACCCTGTGCACTTCCATGTTGCTTACCGAGGGTAACCCTCCACCCCATGAACAGAAAGCAAAGAAGCTCATGATGTCATGGCGGCTTTGTGAATTTCTCCCCAAGTTAATGGAAAGAATCCGTTGAAGAGCCCAAACCTACGACGTCATGGTCAATGCGCTTAGGAAACCAACATACTTTTCTCCGGAAAAGAAAAAAAAAACACCAAACAAAAACACTTGGCCCAAAGGTCACTCCAAAGTGTCAGGCCTACTGGGTGTGCCCTCCAAAAAGTTGAGGCGCCTCAAACACGGGGATCGCACCTCTTGAGACGTTTACACACAAAAAAAGACGAAGAAAAAAACAAGCGCCAAAGTTGCCTCCGTGAGACCCACAGGTGAGCAGCGCCTCATGTTTGCTCGAGATGTTCCTCGAAGATTTGGCCTTACCCTACCAGAAAAGGTAAAACCCAAAATCGGAAAACCAAACCACGAACGAGATCTGGCTCTTTCCAAAAAAAAAAAAGAGAAAAAAAACGCCAGCCCCGCCAGCCCCGCTAGCCCCGCCAGCCCCGCCGGCCCCTCTTTTTTTTCGGCCAAGAAGCAGCGCGAAGAGCAGCGCCAGAAGCTCGTCCCGGCACACGCCTCGGGATTCCATGCATGCGGGGCCGTTCGGGGCGGCACAGGGCTGTCTGGGTCCTTTGGACCGCTGCGCCCAGGCCATTTATCAGAGAAACCCAGCGCTTTTTTTCAAGAGGGCGCGTTGGGAATATCCGGAAAGGTGTGTTTGCTTTTCGGTGTGGCCGGAAAGGTTTGAGTTTGGTTGGGGTTCTGGTTTTGATTGCTGCGCCATTTTACCAGGGATTTGATTTTTTCCCCAAAGGTCACCTATGAACAGGGCGGTGAACGAACCAAAAAAGTCCAAGGAAACTACAAAGGGATGGTTCACAGGACTCCTTTTCGTTGTTGCGGCACTTGCAATTCCGCTTCTGTAGCAGAAGGCCTTGTAAATGACGAATTGACGAGCGGGAGGCAACTTTGTCACCAACCTGTTTCCTTTTTAGGGTGGGAAGTGTGATTGACTACTGCTCCTTTTGCAGGGGATGTCCTTAGAAGTGAGAGCCACCCGATGTTTCATTCCGACAGCCCTGGAAATTTGACGCAAGGTTTGGAAGACTGCCATCATGTGCAAGCTCTGTGTCCATTTCCAGAATGGTATGCAAGCAAAATGGAAGGGGAAAAGAATCAAGCCAATCGACGCTGATTGGGTTGTTCCATCTGTCAAATCTGTGAGGGTGTGCATGTAATTGCATTTCTGCTTGGATGTCATGGTGCTTGTGCGCTCCTGCCCACCTGCCCGCCTGTCTTACTGCCTGCCCGCCCGCGTGCTTGCTTCGGCCATTCACTTCTGCTCAAACGGCTGAAAGTTGGCTGCTTTGCAACTTCACAACATACTAAGGGGATACCCTCTTTCCAACAATGGAAGTGGATACCCTCTTTCCAACAATGGAAGTGGAGGGGCCTTTTCAAGAGGATGAGCGTTTGAATTACACAACCCTCCACGTCCATTGTTGGAAACTGGCAAGCGAACACATATTCAGTGACCAAAGATTGTGGCCACAGGCACGAGATTTGGAATCGACAGTCAGCCAGGAACCAGCTCCATGCCCAGTGCTCAGGGAACCCTGGGTTGGACATGAGAATTCAGTGGGGATGTATCTCCACCAACCGAATCTGCCCACACTGAAAACTTTCTACAGCGAGTGTCCAAAAAAACTACATATCCCTCGCCCAAGAGCCCC